TGGATTTGCTAATGAATTTGTATCAACAATTATGGATTCTGTAAATAACATTTTGTTTGATACTGAAGTTTTAAATACAGATTTAGTTAATGATCTTGTTCCAACTTCAGGCCATTCTTTGCTACTAGAAACAATGACTAGAGCAGATTTGAAAGAAATTACACTGACAATGAATAACATAAATGAAGACAATGAAGTTAGTAATGGAATGGTACTAGAAATGAATAATGTGAATGAGGTTCCAAGTTGTACCAGAAAAAGAAAATTGGAGACATAAGAGGGCAAGACCAGATAAATGGAAACGTAATATTGAAAAACATCCGCAAAATTTAGGGAAATTGTATACATTGGTTCCGGTAAAGAAGTTCTAGAACACAGCTTTAAATTTTGATTTTAAATGCCACTTAAGTGTGCAACCAAATGTAAATCAAATGAAAGAAAAAATATGCATGGACTGTATTGGAGTGCATCCAAGGAAGGTAAATTAGAATTTCTTAATGGACATGTTCACCAAATAATAGTTTCAAAATGTTAGAGTGAAAGAGGGACAGAGTCACGTAGAAATATGACAAGAGTTTTCCATTTCTCTAAAATGGATCAGACATCTACTTGCGTTTGCAAAAAAATATTCTGTGCAATCATTCAAATTTCAAGTAAAACTTTGGACAGGGCTTTGAAAAAAGAAAGCAAAGGTTCTATTATTGAAACTAGAAGCAAAAAGGAACCTGCAAAAAAAAACTAGCAAACAAGATGTTGAAAATGTTATGAATAACATAAAAAGTTATCCACAATATATAAGCCATTACACACGTAAAGAAAGCCCAGATGCAAAATACTTACCACAAGAATAAAATCTATCACTAATGTACAGAATGTACACTGATGATTTTAAAGAATAAAAAATTCAAGAGAAGTCAACAAATCAATTAACGAAAAGATTTTTTATAAGAAATTTAATTTAAGATTTCAACAACCGAAAAAAGAAACATGTACAAAGTGTGACATGTTTAAAACAAAAATAAATTGGCTGCAAACTCAAAACACTACACCAACACAACTTGTAGAAGTTATTGACAACAAACAAATTTATATAACTAAAACAGAAAAAGCCGGAGCTGCTAGTTTCAGTCAGACAGAAAGCAAAGGAAGTAAACCAGTTTAATATTAAGTATAGAAAAGATCAATGTGAAATAGATTCCCAAGACCCGTATATTACAGGTCATGACAGCTAGTTGATGTTAGTACTTGTATTACTGTAAATTTTCTTTAAACATTTTATCACATTTCAAATTATATTTAATTTTATTTAACATCATAGATTTTTGATTAAAAAATATTAGCTATCATACAATTAATGAATTTAAAAATAAAACCAGCCACTGCATTATATTGAATTTGATTGGAGGCACGTATTAAATGAATTAGAGTAGTATTAAAGTCGAGCAAAAATAGTATTTTTAAATTTGATAACTTCATATCATTTTTAAATATTTGAGGGAGTGGTTAAACAAGATCTCTGTGAGTTGAATGCAACATTAGCATTGTGCAAATGATTATGCTTACTCTGCCCATATCTGTAACTTTAGGAGAGAAAAATTTCCATATAAGGATCTATAAGGATCTTAAAAAATATAATGCTAAAAATATAAAAACATCAATTAATACGAGTTCTCTCAATACTATTGTTAATTTATTTGAAATTTTTGCTGGATTATAGTTGCCAACATCATCAGCTATAATATCGTAATTTTTTTTTAATATTTTTAACATATATACTCTCACACAAGATGTCAACATTTAAATCATATATATATATATATATATATATATATATATATATATATATATATATATATATATATATATATATATATATATATATATATATATATATATATATATATATATATATATATATATATATATATATATATATATATATATATATATATATATATATATATATATATATATATATATATACATATATATATATATATATATATATATATATATATATATATATATATATATATATATATATATATATATATTTGTATTCTACAAATAGACTGCTCAATGTTCTTAAAGAACAGAGCAATACTTTACCAGTTTTAGAAACTCTTCATGATGAAGAAAATTAGATAAGTGTAACTAATTTATATATATATACAGTTTTAGACCAAAGTTTGAAAACGGTGCATATTTTTCTGATTTAAGAAAAATATGCACCATTTTCAAACTTTGGTCCAAGACTGTATGTACAACGTCGAAGTGGCAGACAAAAAAAAAACGACACCATACCATGATAGACTTATTCGAAGGATTACAATAAACTTTCCACGCATAACATCAGCGGCAATTAGAAGTAGTTTCCTGGAAAGTTGCAAAAATATAAGTACTAAAACTAATAATCAAAGATTATTTGCACATGGATTGACAAGCTAAAAACCAGCTAAAAAACCAAAATTATCAGCAAAGAATATTAAAGATTGCTTAGAGTTTTGTAACAGGTACAAACACTGGCATAAAGCTGATTGGAAACAGGTCATGTTCAGGAACAAGTCAACCTTCACGCAGTTTGCTTACAATGCTCCTAGAATTTGGTGCCCACCTCTGACGAAACATAACAACAAGTCTTGCCAACAGTTAAATAACCAAAGAAACTGATAGTGAGGGGAGTTATATCAGCATTTGGTCGTGCAGGTTAATTGGACATGCCAGATGGATCTACTATTAATGGCAATGTTTACTTAAACATTCTTAAAAAAAAATTACCGAATTTTATGGCAATACATGGTACAAATGTATTGCAGCATGATGATGCTTTATGTCATGGCACAAAAGCGGTAAAAAATTGGCTCACAAAGTCTGGTTTTGAGATTTTGGGTCCATTGCCGGGCAATTCTCCGGACTTGAACTCGATAGAGAACGCATGGTATACTATGAAAAAGAAAGTTTCAGAGAACAACTTCACATCACAAGCTGACCCTCTGGACAAAATGGACTAATAAAACAACAATTTTTTGCTAATTTCTCGTGTGTTTCCAAACTTTTGTCCAAGACTGTATATATATATATATATATATATATATATATATATATATATATATATATATATATATATATATATATATATATATATATATATATATATATATATATATTATATATATTATATATATTATATATATTATATATATTATATATATATATTATATATATTATATATATATATATATAATGTATATATATATATATATATATATATATATATATATATATATATATATATATATATATATATATATATACATTATATATATATAAATTATATATATACACATTATATATATATATATATATATATATATATATATATATATATATATATATATATATATATATATATATATCAGGCCTTGCGATAAAGCGTCGGGCAATGTGAATTTTACGTCATCCAAGAGCGATTTTGCGTGTTGCAAGGGCTATTTGCGTCGAGCAAAAAATTTTTTGTTTGAGTATATTTAAAGATATTTTTGAGCGGAATTTTATTGAAGTAATTTACGATTATTTTAACATTTAATAAAGTATTTTAAAAACCGCACGCAATTGATATAAAAGTTTGAATTACAAAAAAATTAAATATGCTCATTATTTACAAGTAGAAAAAAATCAGATAAAAAAAAAAGTTTAAATCTTTTTAAGCTAACATTTTAATAAAATTATTCAGCAATAGCAAAGTTGTCGATAAAATTGAACAAAAATACTTTCTTTTAGTTTTAGATTTTTAACTTGAATAATTATTTTACGGGGGTTTGTTAGGTTTTAAAATTATTCCATAGATTTAAAAATATTTATTAACTGTTAGACGTATTTAAAGTATTTAAGAGTAATTTCGAGGAAACATTTTAAAATTGGTAAGCGCAAATAAAAAAATAAAACGATTAATATTAAAACATATTTTACTTGATTCAATAAAAAAGTACAGCTATTAAAATTTTTGTAAAAAGAAAAAATTTACTTAAATAATAACAATTACAAAACTCGAAAAAAATTACTTAAATAATAACAATCGCTTTTTTGTTAAAAGTTACCAAAACTCAATGAAGCATGCTCAAGAACAGCTGCTTAAAAATAGAACGTCAAGAGTTTTTCGAATAATTTTTAAGAATAATTTTTTCGCTGAAATATGTCTTTTATACCTATAAGATTTTTATTCTAACATTTTATTTTATTTTACCAAAAATAAAATTCCTTGTAACCATTAAAAATCTATTCAAAATGTTCGTTAAAGTTTTTTTAGTAATACGAGTGATTGTGCTTATCAACCGCTTTATGAAAATAAATAAAAATAAAAAAATATTATATAAAATCGCTAGTAAAAATATTAGCTATTGCACAGTTTTTAATCGTACAATATTAAAATTTCCAGTTTATAACTCGCTGACTTTTTAAAAAGAAAAGATAATTATTTGAAAAACTTTAAATTACATATTTGAGAAAAAAAAAATCAAATATTACCATTTTTTATAATCTTTTTTAAATGTTTAGTTATAATGTTTTTTATTTGTTTAGTATAGACAAAACATGTCAAACGTTGAGAAAATAAACAAATGTTTTTACATTTTAAAAAAAGAAACATTCCAAAACATTTTTAAATAATAACATTTCTACATAAATGATTTTAAAGTAGTTTTGCGGTAATTAAGTAAATTGGTGCAGTTAATGTCGATAAATATAAAAAGCAAATAAAAAGAATTTAATGACGTCAAAAATCACATCGTGCTTATGCGTTGCGCAGTTTTTATTCATCACAAGGCCTGTATATATAAAATATATAGAGAGAGATTTTGCATAAGGCTATTTAAGAAAAAAATAAAATACTACTGGTAATAAAAAAATCTGAGTATATTATAATGTAATTAAGTAATTCTTACTTTTGTCTGTTTGTCTATTATCTAAAATATTTAATAAAAACAGTTTATTAATATACTTACAATCAGAATCTTGGACTGGGCCTGCTGAACACTGGGCAGGTGGATCTATTTTTATGTCTTGATACTCCTACAAAAATGATAATATTATTAAAAATACATCCTACTATTTACCTAGAACATTTATCACCATATTCTCAACCCCCAATCAAAATAATCACATTATTTTTTAATATTGGTAGTTTTGTTCTTGTTACGTATTTGTTGTAAAAAATTATTTTTATTTTAAATAAAATCTTAGGACTTTAAATAAAACCTTTTGTTACAAAGGACGATAGAACCTGTTATTTCAAAAAAGGACATTTAAAAGTTTCTAGGATCATCAAAAATGTTTCTCATAAAAAAAACATCAATACTTGAGAAACTTAACATGGGAGTAGATAAATAAAAAACGTTATAGTGACTTCTACTCATTATTAAAAAAAACAGCATTCATTAATAACAAACATATCATATAGTTATTTTTAATTTAAACTAAAAGTTTTTATTGATGGGCTTGTGTTTTTTAAAATAAAGAGCTCAAATAAAATTTGGTGTTAAAAAGAAAGATTTAAAATGGAAATTATTATTTAGGAGATATAACTTGGAGGTGATGCAAAGAAGGCATCAATTGAAATAACATGATATGGTGGAGTCAAAATAAGTTAACTGTCTATACTCTTATCAAGCAGTTAAAAATTAAAGAAAAACATGTCTAGTTTCATATGTTACACAGAAATGAAACTAGACTACAAAAATTAATGGTATACTGATTCTATAAAGGACAAATAATTGGTAATCAGATCGATTTTGATGTAAACTTTGATATAAAGGACAGGAAATCAAGATAGCGAACTTAAGTAGAAGTTAAGAATAGCGTATTTAAATACTTTTCAGAACAGTATATATTATTAAAAACTTTGAAAAAAAAGTTTATGAAGTAAAATTAAAATATATAAAAAAAATCCTTGTCTAAATTTTGACATTAATCTCAAAATATCTTAGTAATGGTTTGGATTCTTTTTTAAACTTCGAGCCCAAATAGATTTTTTGCTCAAGAATTGGAAATTTTCTAAGGGCTTAAGAAATACTTGGTTTATCCAATTATATTATAAAAATTTTTTTTGAGGACTTGAACTCTCTAGAAATGCCTGGTTTATCTAATGTTATTCAAAACTATTGACGTAAATTATTATCTTTTGAAGATAAAATGGAGGTTGTCACCTGAAATCTCAGACAAAATGTTGATTGTATATCATTACTTTATCTTAAGTTTACTTAAATAAATTAGAACTATGTATTGTCTTTGAATATTTGATCAAAGTAAACACTCAAAAATAACATTATAGAATTTTAAAAAACTACAAATATCTTATAGCCTTCTGCTGCAAAGACGTGCCACTATGCAAGCCTTACTGGAAAGTGCGTCGCACGCCTTGTTCGCCCACATTTACAAGTAATTTTTTTATACATGCTGACCACATCAGTTTGCACCTTCTAACTTTTTAAGCATTTCAATAATTCGCAGCAAAAAGTTTAACTAAATTAAACTAAATAAAAAACTACTGAGAAAAAAAACCAATTCTAAAAAAGGGAAACAAATTTGTAACAAAAATATCAAATTTTAATAAATTTTTAAATAAACTAGAAAAATTTAAAAGCTTGAAAAAATAAAAATTAAAAAAAAAAATTTTTATAAAAATTTTATACAACTTTTGTGTTCTTTTTTTTAGGGTGGTTGATATTTTTTTTAGGGTGGTTGATATTTTAACTACCAAATTTGATACAAATTGAGGAAAAAAACATATTTTATAACAATTTAACAACAATCAGAAGGGTTGATATGCAACTTATTCATAATTTTTATCAGCCCATATAATTACGAAACTTATTTGCTATGTATGCTATAACTAAGAGAAATTCTGTTAATTTTTTCTTCTTATGTTTCACAGTGAACCACAATAACCGCCAGGTTTGATGTCTCCCCACATCCAATTTTTCTTATTAAGAAGTAACATAGTATATAAATTAGGTAAAGGTGTTAAGAACCTTCATAGGAATGGCTAGAATAAAATTTCTACATATCTAAACTTTAGATAAAAAGGGGAGGGGCGGTATATGGTTAACTCATTCCTTTATCGAAGTTCATATATTTCACATAATTTTATGAAGAAACCTAATTTTTACTGTGTTCTTGTGTACTCCCATATTATAAAAGCATTAAAAAGTGATAGGACATATTCTATAATAGATTACATAAGAAAAAAAATGTAGGTATAAAAGCAACAACAACAAAATGCAATTAATGCAATCAAGGTAAAAAATATCTAGACTAAGCTTTAAAATACACAAATAACATATTTTATATTTGATTAAAATCTTTTATGCTATTAAAATACTTTAGAAGCAACAACTTTGACATAAATGTGGGTCAACAATATATTAATTTAAATAGTAAACTTGTTAACTATTTATTAAATGTTGAAAATTCCACAAAATTTTAATTCAATTGACAATCAATTGAATTAAATTTTTGTTAAACTTCACAACACTTGACTTCAATTGACAATCATTTAGCATAGTCTGGGTGGCTTTGTCGTCTCTTATATTTAATCCGTCTTTTTAAACTCATGATGAACAGATTCATCTGGTTGTTCAGAGTAAATTCCAAGTCCATTATCAGTATTGGTACTGCAATATGAACTTTCCACGGTATATTCAAAGAAATATTATTAAAGTAAGTATAATATATTCAACTAAATTAGCATATAGCATTTTGAATTTGAAAACAACAGATTCAATATCACCAATAATTTTTTCTCCAAAGGTAGCTTACTTAATTGCTTGAAACTTTCTTAAACATTCAATTACTGGCAATAATTCAAGCTTTCCTTGATCAGCAATATCACAAGCAAGAACATCTAACTTATCTAAAAGTCTGTTGGCATTGTTGCCATTAATTACACTGCCATGGTAACCTCTGAAAAATATGTAATTTCAGTTTAACCACTTTTCAAAGCCAGGCCATAGTTTGTTATAGTTTTCCAAAAGTTGTAACTATTCTGATTAATGTATGCAACTCAGGTACTGGAACTAAATTTTCTATAATTGTGTCTGGATCCTCTTCAAGATATAATACTTTTGGATTTATAACATATTTATAATCAGTCATCTTTGATTTTGGATTTCCGGCTTCTGTGTATTTAGTGTAATGATAATCATAGGAACGATGAATTTGTTTTCCTTCACCACCTCTATTCTTCACACCCCAAACAACTATATTTTCCAGCATGGCTTGTAATGCCAAACAATGAGTTTGCACACTTTAAATCAAATGCAACAGAATACTTAATATTTTGAAGATTAAGAGTATCAACTAATTTTCTAAGATTTCCATTGTGTTCAGACACTCCTTCTACAATAGCAACAATAAAACAACGCTTAACTCATCAAGGTCAGGTTGGTTGTTAGTTTTATCATGCAGATTAAAAACATTAATAGTTACCTTTAAAAAACCTTGACCAGAGTCCACAGCAACTCTTACAATTGTAGAAAGAGGGTCAATATTCCTTTCAGTAATTATATTAGGAATAAATTGATCAATATCCTTTATATAAGCCATTGATTTATTAACTATATTGCCAGCTTCAAATAATTCTTCTTCTTTACCTAAAAAATATTCAATCATTTCTGCTTTTAAAGCCTCTAATTTTTCAATAATATTTACTTCTATGCTATTTTGAAAGCCAAGACTTTTTCTAAATATGGAACACTTTTTTTTGGTTTTACACTGAGATAGTTCTAAACATTTTATAAGCTCAATGATTGTTACAAAAAAAACACTTGACTAAGATTAGCACGATCACATTTATTGTCCGTAGTTCCAGCTATAATATTCAATGGTTTCCCATGAGTAGCAATTGTGAATTTTTTTACCATTAAAAATATTTTCCTTTTCCATTTTTGTTTTTAAAATACTTGAAGCGACACGTTTTGCACTTGCTGATCCCAATGCATATGCTACATTAACTAAATTTTTCACAGATTAAACATCACTACAAAGATGAATAATACCTGATTTTCATACAGGCATCAGACATAGACGATACATTTGTAAAAGAAACAATGCTAATTTTTTATTCACTTGCTGTAATTATAAAATTTTGCAATTTGTTTTAATGACATAAAAGGCAAAAATTTAAAGAAAAAATGAAATCGGAATCAAATGTGAGACAAAAGCTATAATGAAATCATTAAAAACTGTTTTGCCATGGGAATGAAATTTTCTTGATTGTGAAGTAATAAAAGCTCAAGGTAAAGACACAATTGTAAAAATCCGGTGCAAACTATGTGCTAAGCATAGCAACATAATTCAAAGCAAAACATCAATTTTGGGTTGCACTACTAGTTCTTTAAACGCTTTTTCAAATGGAACTGACGTTGTAACATATCAGATTTAATGTTAATAAAATATAGTACATTATAAATAAAAAAATATGAATTATGTATGCTTTTCAATTTAATGTTACTTAGTTTACTAATTTTTCAGGTTATGAGGCATTTATCAACAAAATGTCATTTAGAGGCAGTTAGAATAGAAGAAAACATCATAATGACGAGCACTATTGAATCTCAAATAAAAGAATCAACTTTTGAATCATATTTAAAGTTAATGCGCATGGCATATGAAATGGCTCTGCATTTTATATGCGTTTCCAACTATGCCACATAGTCATTTTGAGGTTCTGGTGAAGGTTCAACATGATAACAGTGTCAATCTGTTGCAAGGAAAATGCAACAAAAATGCAGATATATTATATTTATATATACACAGATTGACTATAGTATGCACTACTTGAAAACTAAAGTAAACATAATTTTAATTATTAATAAGTGCACTATTTAAAAAATAATGATTTGCTAACAAATTTTTTTTTATTAGCCTTTAGACTTGAATATTCAACTTAAATTCAAAATTCCTTTTTTTTTTCTTGTAGCTAGAGAGTTTATTCATTGTATTGCGGCAACAATAAAGGAGAAAGTAGCTGCTATTATTACTAACAAGCCTTTTATGGCTTTACTTTCTGATGG